CAGATAAAACAGAATTTATGAAGGCAGGAACAAAACACAGAAACTACAGTAACTCAACAACACAAAAACTACAGTAACAGTGCACAGCGCAGAAGAAAACAACAGCGACTCAATACCATATTGCAAAGCTCCGCTTAACTTGTTCAAAAATCAGATCATCGTTTCACAAGGACCTACAACAGGAACATCAAAATTTACCATTTAAAGGAATAATTTAAATTGCCGTCGATTGCTACAACAACAGCATTCACTCCGTTACCGGAGTATTCTGTTGTTCCGGACACAAATTCTGAGAAACAGTAACAATACTTGTGAATACGAGTTCAACGGAAGGGAATCAGTAGAAGTAATCAATGAAAATACGATATTCCTCAATAATTTCAATGGAACAGTCAAAGTAAACAACACAACAAAAACCCTTAACGGTAACTTCGCCATAGAGTTTTACAATGAAACAATTCAAATTAAAAACAAGACCTATACCAATAAAGAATTTCAATCGTCTCAAATCATTTTGCCACCGTTTCCCAGGGAAAATGAAACTCAACCTAGATTATTTGCATAATTTCCACTTAGGTAATGTCAAACAACTGAGCGAGCTCACTACAACTTCAGTGTTTAGCATAACATTCAATGCCACATTCACCTTAATTATCATTGCTATATTACTAGCAGCAGCTCTCCAAAAATACAAAAATCGGAAAAAAATTGAACATCTCTTTAAAAACGTCAGAATTAGGAGAACTGGAATTTAAAGGAGGAACTGAAACTGGATCTTAAAGGGAAGAGTTAAGACACTATATTTCATTTTGAAAACTATTATTAATATATTAACAATTACTTTTTGATAGACTGTCAACCAAATTAGGGTCCTATTTTGCAATTTTTGTAGTCTATCGAATTGTTCGTGCGAAAACATGAAAATAACAGACAATACTCAAAATGTGGTCTAATAATTACATTGTATATTTTTATTGCATTTGAAAGTGATATTTTTTTATTATTTTTGATAAGAAGTATATTTTTTTGGAAATTTTTTTACATATATAGTTGTTATGGCTCTTAAAACTTAATTTATCGTCTAAAATGATGCCCAGATACTTAAACTCATTTACTATTTCAATTTTAATGTTATCAATCAAAATTTCGACATCATAATTACTGTTGAACAGCATAGACTTAGTTTTATTGATATTTAATTTAAGTTTATTCATTTTGAACCAGCAACATAAATTATTTAAATCGTCGTTAACAATATTAACACACTCCTCAACAGTATCACAACACACATATAACAAAGCATCATCTGCAAGTAATACCAGTTTAGATCGCTGAGCTACCTTTGCCATATCATTAACATATATCAAAAACAAGAGAACGCCAAGAACACTGCCTTGTGGTACTCCAATAGAAACACCCAAAGAATCAGAAGTTGAGTTATTAATTTTTGTTTTTTGAGTTACGTTGCTCAAATATGACTCAAACCATTTAAATTATGTTACATATTCCATATTTTTTTAGTTTTTCTAGTAAGATGTTTCTATTAACGGTTTCAAACGCTCTTTGTAAATCTAAAAACACAGCTAATATAACCTTATTATCGTGTATTTCCATCATCCAATTTGTAATTACTAGATTTAACAATGATTCACAACTATGGCTTGCTCTGAACCCAGATTGATTCTCGTATATTATGTTAAACTTCTCCAAATATTCGACCAGTTGTCATTTATAATTTTTTCAATTATATTTGCTTCTGTAGAAATAGTATTGATTGGCGAAATTCTTCGCACTTTTTTGTATTTTCCACTTTTTCTACTGGAACCACTATTGTATCTTTCCAGATGTCTGGAAAAATACCGGTTTCCATCGATTTACTAATTGTTGTAAGTAAATTTCCTCCAATCAAATCAAAAGAATCAAGAAGTAGTTTCACACTTACAAAATTATTATCTTTTTTATTGTTCATGCTCTTTAGCAAAAGTTCAAGATCCTCTAAATTAATTTGTTTAAATTTAAATAACTTATTTTTTTACTAACTTTTTTATTTTTTAAATAACTTACCAAAGATATACCAACCTTATCAACAACACAATTTCAGTTTTTTGGATGGGAAATTTTTACTTTTGAGTTTTTAAGAAAAATATACTGGAAATTACGAAATATATAAAGATATTCAAGTAGGTAAAAAAACCAAATATTAAAATTATAATTGATGACTTTAACCTAATGCCATATATCTAACAGGCCTCCAAGCTGAAAATATTTTCTGAAATTTTGAATCGGAAGAAAATACAAAAACAAGTCTTAATGTTTTATGTTTTCGAAGTATGCCGATTGAAATATTTTTATACCCTGCACTTCGTAAAGGGTGTATTAACTTTGGTATGGAGTTTATAACTACTTGAAGGAGTCATCTGCGTTATGTACATATATATATATTCTTGCTCAGCGTAAAATTCTGCGTTGATTTAGACGTGTCCGTCCATCCGATCGCACGATAACTCAAAAACGAATAATGCAATCGACACCAAACTTTCACAAGTTGTTTCTTTTGTGGCAAAGAACCCTATTGTAATTGAACTAATTCGGACAACGAGTTCGGGTAGCTGCCATACAACTCAAGCAGTTTATTTTAAATATTTCAAAAACTAATAAAGTTATAAATATAAAATTGTATACATGTGTCCAATTATATTCTACACACGCTCCAAAAATTTTAATGGGACAGCAGCCGGTTCGGGTGTCTGTCATACAACTCCAAAAGCAAATTCTTTATATTCGGCAAAATAATACAGTCAGATTCATGAAACTTTGCAGTCATGTGTCTAATTATAGGTCAGATATATTCTGAAGTTTTAGTGGAATTGCTTGACAGATTCGTGTACCTGCCAAACAACTTCAGAATTATGAGACTTGGCAGTTGTGTGTCCAATTATAGGTCAGATAGAAGTTTTGGTTGAAGTGCTTGACAGGTTCAAGTGGCTTCCATACAAGTCCAAAAGCTTATTTCAAATATTTAAAAAATAATAAAGTCATATTCATGAAACTTGGCAGTTGTGTGTCCAGTTATAGGTCAGACATATCCGAGAAGTTTCTATAGAATGGTTTCACAGGTTTGAGTAATTGCTGTACAACAACAAAAGGTGCAGGGTATAATTCAATCGGTTTATACCAACTGGAACGTTTTTACTTGTTTTATTTTTTTTTTTTTTGAAATTTTTGAGTATTCTTTATGAAGCTCAATTTATTTAGTATAGTTTTAAAAGCCATTTAGATTATAATTATTATTTTTTTGCTTTTTTCTTCAATTTATTTTTAAATTCTATTTTTTATTCAAAAATTTTATTCTGAAATTCAGTACTCTTCCATTTGGAAGACAAGAAAGGTTGTCTGCGCTAAAAATTACAATGTTTTTTTTTTAAATGCATTTTTTAGATGGAATTTGCCAGCCGATTTTTTGAAATTTAAAGTTTAAATTTCAAAAAACATGTAGAATCAGTAGAACCAAAAATATTGATCAATTTCCTTCACACAAATAAATTCCGACGCACCTTCCATTTAAACTCCATAGAAATTTGGAATTTATTTCAAATTAATTCAATTTTCTATTTAGACTTTTGCATTACAAAAAATCTTTTCTGTCAGCTCTTCGTTCTGTAAATACTCACACATAGATATTTGTTTTTTATGAACAAAATAGATTATTTGCAAATCGAAAAAACATTTTGTTAAAGGTAGCTAACAAAACTAATAAAGTTGGTTCAAACTATAAATGGTTTTTAAAGTAGCAATTTTACAACCAAGTGAGAGTACTGCTTTTAAAAAAATTAGAGGCATTATCATAATGCTCGAATTCAAGGGCTGATTACGTTATTTATTGTTAGCTTTCATTCATAAAAATTTAAAAAATCTTGCAGTTTCGGAAATGAATTCTGCCAAAATTGCGACTTTTACAAATTTGGAGAGGTGAAAACTCACAAGGTGAAGTTGGAAAAATTTTTTATTATTATCTAAAAGCTGGAAAAGTTTCATACTTCTACAACCTATTTTATGGAAGAAAACCGATATCAAAAACTTGAAAAGGAACGAATTTTACGTAACGGTTAATTTTAGCAGATATTTCTTTCAATATTCAGTTATGCTGTGTCGCTGTAAAAAATGCCAGCCGCAACTTTTTTGCGTTTGAGTGCTTATGGTTTCTTTAAAATGTCTGTTTGAGAACTTATAACTTTTAGAGAACAGGGGAAGATAGCTAAAACTTTTCTTCTACGGAAGTAAGTTTCTAGCAAAGATCCATTTATTTCAGCTTTCTTTCTTCAAGGGTGTAGAAGTTTTGTAAACGGGTGCACGGACAGAAAGAAACTATAAGCACTTCTTTTCGAAATTTTTTAAGTCCTAAAAAAAATTTAATGGATATAAGTGAAAGACAATGTGATCAACATCATTGGTATCAAATTCACCAACATCATTTTTGAAATTATTTAAATATTTTTTTAAAATCCTCAAAATATTAAAATTTCAATTTTTTTTACGTTTTGTATTTTTGTATTACTGTTGTTATGATTATTTTGTGCCCAAAAGTAAAAAGTCTCCTTTTAATTTTCAGTTTCTGAAAAATTTGATTTCGGTATACATAGCGGCATTTAACCAAAAAATGCTTCAATTCAGTATCTCTTACTTATTTCTGGTAACATCGAAACCTACATGCAAACGGTTGTGTGTACCAAAATTTTCATTTATATGAAAATTGAAATCCGTAAAAAAATAAATGTATTATTAATTCTAGTATTATAGAATGATTAAGGTTCATTATAGAAGCGAGAACTGTTTTTTTTTGTATGTCAAATAAATATTAATATGCAAAATATATGTTACATTTTTTTTTATTAAATCCTATTAACAAAATGGTTTTTAATATTTAGTAAGAAAATTGTTCTGTTCGTATGTTCACAAATATGTATGTAATGAGTGTTGAATATGCTAGAAATTCACGACATATGCAATTATTTTTATATAAAGCATTTAAAATATTATTTATTTTTTTTTTTATAATGTTACAGTTTATTTTAAAATACTGGTGTTACTTTAAATTTAATTAAATAATCTAAAACTCTATTTACATGTGGAAAAAGAAAAAATAATTGTTTTATTTTTCTAACTCTATTGTTTAAGTACATTTACCTAACTGTCTTTATTATCTACCATTTTTTTTTTAAATAATTTTTGATTGGTAAGTAATACTGATATTTTAAATTAATCATCTCAGGTAAATTTCTTAAATAAGCGAAGCATTCTAGTTCTGATTCAATAATAACAACAACAAAAAAGAATGTTGTTGCTGCAACAAATATAAAAGATGGTATAAAAACCTTTAACAGTTGGAATTTTTTGCTACTCTCATACATTTTTTTTGAAAATTTACTATCTTCATTATTAATTAAACTTAAAGCATTCGCCTTTCCCTGTTTTCCAGTTTTTTTGGAATATAGCAAATGTGTTGGATGTTGGAATAGACCTCGATGTCCTTCTGAGTACGGGTTTGTTAGTCCACTTTCTGTGGACGAGTGCTCAAAGGAATCGCGGAAGTAATATTCTAGAAATTCAGTATTATTTGTTGATTCAAAATTTGATGCACGTAACCTTTGTTCTTCTGTAACTGGCTCTAATTGCGCAGGGTGACTATCGGGATAAAAGTGTTCGATACATCCCATAACATTATTAGTCCCTAACGGCTCTGACATTGTTGAACGAGGTAAGCTACTATATCCTTAAAAGAAAATATAATATTAAAAATTTGTGATGTCACATCAAAGTAAAATATTTTACGTATTTGAGCCAAATCTCCTTGAGGACTTGAAGGTGTTGCGGGAACACTACTTGCTCTTTTTGTAGGAGTTGCTGAATTCAAAAGCTTTTGTTCACGCAAATTGTTGATACTCTCAGTAAGAATTTCTCGTTCAGTCCTGCCAGTATATTTGAACTTTGTTCCCCAAGAAAAAAATCCTCCACCAGAAACAACAGATGCATTTTGACTATTTGGAAGCCTAAAATAACGAATTAGTTAATTTGAACAAATTAAGAAATAATTTATAAAATATGGATAAAATCTACGTGAAAAATAGCATCTGCTCAATGGCGCATCTCCATACATAACGGCAAGAAGATCCAGTAGGACATTTAAAACCAATTGTATGTTTTTTCTACAGCGAAATAATTTAGTTTACTTGTGTTTTTTCAAAATACACATACTCACAGGTTCACGAGTAGAATCAGTGTAGCTCAAGTGCACAATAAACATTTTTCCTTCATAGTTCAATTTACTTACTTCAGACCATCTAAAATGCTGCGACCTCTTTCCAGTTACAAAAGTAGAAATACCACTGTAATTTATTCCCAAATAAAGTTGGGTTCCTAAGATCAAAACGGTTGCAGTTAATTGATTTCATACATCACAACTTAGAAGTAAAGTGTATAAACACTTTACTATAAAAAATATTATGACAAACACCTTTAATGAGAAACCCATTATCATATACATGTAATTTTAAGCATTATGATTTGATTCAGTCAATTACTATTAAAAATTACATGCAAGTTATATTAAATTCCCTTACGCCAGAAATACCAAAAAATAAAAACATAACTTTAGAATAAAATTAAATCGAACGTTGCAATTAAACTTTAATATTTTATTACGTAACTATTTGAAATAATTTAATTGCAACGTGATTTACCAAAAAATAAATTATTAACACGAAACTAAAATTAAACTTAAATGTTGCAATTCTCCTCATTTACAACTCTCAGTTGTAGCTCTCATATTTCATTATTTAAAATCATTTAATTGTAACGTTATTAAACTTATACAAATTAAACTAAAGCAAACTTCTAAATATTCAAATTACAATAATTCAAACTTTCCCGTGAGAGCCTTTCTAAACAATTTTTGCTTAGTAAACATTTATTCTTTATAAATATCATAAACGCAATAATAACTTTGCTTGGTAATACTATGATAGCGTAGTAGCTTAGTAGTTATTAAAGTGATCGTTTGTCGTTTAAATTCCAATATAATAAAAATCAGTTTATATTCTAAAATATCAATGTGTCTAATATGTAAATATAGGTAAAAATCATTTTTTTAAATGAAAAAGAAATCAATAAAAATAATAAAGTATTTTTAAAAAATATTTTTTTTATGCTTTTTCGAAACTTATAGTTTAATTTGCATACACCTGAATTTCAAATGGACAATATTTTTTCACTCATAGGAGAAGCATAGGACTAGTGCATGATATCATAGATAGTCATGTTCTAGTTTCGTTGCGTTATAGAGTTTTAAACTATGTAGGTGGGTGACTAGCCTGCCGTAGTCTTTTTTCTTTATATTCAATATTTAAAGTTATTAATATTTATTGTTTATTTTTTAGATTTTTAAATCTTTCGGTTAAAGGATCGGTGTAATAACCATTGCATTATGGTCAGATAAATGGACAATATTACAAAAGGAAAAATTAAATTTTTATTTTAAAAAATTAATTGTCGGTTATATGTGTATCAACATTAGTCATTTGCCGAACCTGAAGTTTGTATCTAAAATTTTATGTATGCATATATATATATGTATGATAATTGAACATCTAAAGGGAAAATATTTCAACATAATAAAATAAAATAAAGCAACGTGCGTATTATATATTTTCTATACAAATATGTGATAAGAGTTCAACAAAAATACGATACAAATCCAAATTCAAATTTGTTCACCTAAATACTCTTTCGATTACAACAAGAATGATCAATCCTATTGTATTAAACCATATTGAGACATACTTATATACAAAAATTATGCTCAGGGAAATTAAAATAAATTTTAGGGTTAACCTGATGGGTAATTAAATTAAATTTAAAATGAATGTTGATCGAGAGCAAAATTGAATTAGCAGCTGATAATCAAATAAGGAAATAAATTAGTCTAAACTAGAGCGACATGCAAAAATAAAATTAGGAGACCATTCGAAATGATAGTTACAAATTTTCATCCTCATCATTCAATTACAATCTTGATTTAACTTTAAAAAATTCTAAGGATATCAATAAAATTTATAAAATAGGTACAATTCAACATACGAGGGTTACAAATGAAACCCTTGAAGTAATAATACAGTCTCTCTATGTAGAAGATGTGAAAGATATGGGCTCACGTAGAAGTTAAACCACCGTCTACAAAAAAAACTGTAGAAAATAGTATGTTGTCGCTGTAACAAATATAAAAGGTGGTATAAAAAAAGCTTTATCAATTTTTCTACAGTTAACAATACATTATGGAATATACTTAATGCATCCGATTTTTATTGTTTTCCAGTATTTTAGAATTTTCTTTCAGAAAAGTTTATCGCTTTAAAACCTATAGAAAGTAGTATAAGACAAATATAACGTAATTTAATAAAAACTATAGTGTAAATAATAATAAAAACTAGAATTGAAATCTCATTGAGATTTAATGTAGGTAGGGAGGTAGAAACAAAAGGAAATTTGTTGTAATATAATCTATGCTAAAAAACAGAAATAGGAACATATTGTAATAAATGATATGTATATCATTAACAGTGTTGCGATAGGTCTGGGATAAAACTTGAAAAAATTTTGACAAATGACAAGGTGAGCAAAATAGAAAAATATGTGCTGATAAATGCTCTTCAAGAAAGATCAAGCACTACAAGAAAGATCGAACCTCCTCCTGTTATATTAAGAAATGTAGGGGGAATATCCAAAAATAAAGACGATGCTAAAAGAAGCCAAAATAAACTTAAGGGTCAACATGATGAATAATAATCAATCAACGTTGATCAAGAAAAATACTACAGGGAATTACAAAAAAATAAATGAATCGAAAGTAGAATGGCATACCTACGAAAATAAAATGGGAAGACCCATTAAGGTGATGGCTAGAAGCTTGCATCCTTCGTGCCAACCTGATGATATTAAAAATGAGCTAAAAGGGAGGGGGGTTTAAAGTTATTAAAGTTATTAATAAAATTAGAAAGCAGAATAAAGAAAATAAGACCGCTATGATCTGACTTCCCCTCTTTATAATAATCTTTGAAAATTCGGAGGATATAAATAAAATTTACAAAACTGATGTTCTTCAGCACATGAAGATTAAAATTAAGGAGAAACAATTTAGTTCCTAAGTGCAGAAGGTCAATTTGCCTTCATTTATCGAGAAATTTTAGTAAGCAAAAAAAAAAGAAGCTCCAAAGTGTACAACTTGTTCTGAAGCACATCCTGCAAATTACAATACAAATTAAATAAAAAACAAGTAAAAACGTTTCAGTCGGTATAAACCGATTGAATTATACCCTGCACCTTTCGTTGTTGTATAGCAATTACTCCAACCTGTGAAACCATTCTATAGAAATTTCACGGATATGGCTGATTTATAACTGGACACACAACTGCCAAGTTTCATGAATTTGACTTTATTTTTCCAAATATTTAAACTTTTGGACTTGTATGGGAGCTACTCGTAGCTGAAGAGCAATTCAACCAAAACTTCAGAAATATATCTGACCTATAACTCGACACACAACCGCCAAAGTTTCATGAATCTGACTTTATTATTTTTCCAAATATTTAAAATAAGCTTTTGGAGTTGTATGGCAAGTACCCGAACCTGTCAAGCAATTCCATCAAAACTTCAGAAATATGTCTGGCCTATAATTGGACACACGACTGCCAAAGCTCATGAATCTGACTTTATTATTTTTCCAAATATTTAAAATAAGCTTTTGGAGTTGTATGGCAGGTACCCGAACTTGTCAAGCAATTCCATCAAAACTTCAGAAATATGTCTGACTTATAATTGGACACACGACTGCCAAAGCTCATGAATCTGACTTTATTATTTTTCCAAATATTTAAAATAAGCTTTTAGACTTGTATGGGAGCTACTTGAACCTGTCAAGCAATTTCACCAAAACTTCAGAAATATATCTGGCCTATAACTCGACACACAACTGCAAAGTTTCATGAATCTGACTTTATTATTTTTGAAAATATTTAAAATTAGCTTCTAGAGTTGTATGGCAAGTACCCGAACCTGTCAATCAATTCCTCTAAAACTTCAGAAGTATATTTGACCTATAATTGGACACATGACTGCCAAGTTTCATGAATCTGACTTTATTATTTTGCCGAATATAAAAAATTTGCTGTTGGAGTTGTATGGCAGCGACCCGAACCGGTGCAGCTATCCCATTATAATTTTTAGAGCATATGTAGAATATAATTGGACACATGTATACAAAATTTTATATTTATAGCTTTATTAGTTTTTGAAATATTTAAAATAAACTCTTTGAGTTATATGGCAGCTACCCGAACCCGTTGTCCGAATTAGTCCAATAACAATAGGGCTCGTCCTTGGCACAAAAGAAAAAACTTGTGAAAGTTTGGTGTCGATTGCATTATTCGTTTTTGAGTTATCGTGCGAACGGACGGACGGACGGACGGACGGACGGACGGACGGACGGACGGACGGACGGACGGACGGACGGACGGACGGACAGACGGACATGTCTAAATCGACGCAGAATTTTACGCTGAGCAAGAATATATATATATGTCCATACCGCAGATGACTCCTTCAAGTAGTTACAAACTCCATACCAAAGTTAATATACCCTTCACGAAGTGCAGGGTATAAACATAGCATTTTTATGCTGCATTGTAGGAAAAAAACTTAATAATTAGCGCTTTATTGCTGAAAATATATGTTAATTTATTTAATTGATTATTTCTGGCAACATTTATATGATATGTATAAGAACACCGTGCTCTATTATCTCGATACCCAATTTACTTTTTTTTACGTATAGAACGCATTTAGGAAAAGTGTACAATGTCAAAAGCTTTAACTAAGCTTTTTGGAATGTGATACGTACACGGAAACCGAAAATCTTGATTTTGGATTGTAAAATTGTAAAAATTAGAAAAAATCATTTGTTTACCCATTTTGTTTATTTTATTTTATTTTTAATTGATGAAATTTTTTTTCCAAAAATAAAACTTTCTGACATAACCGAGAGAAAGACATGTTTTGACAGCTGTAAAATTTCAAAAGTTTTTAAAACACTAAATTTTACTTTACACTTGAAAAAACTGTTAACATTGAAGAAATGAAAATGTCATCATTTTCTCTCATTTTTGTTCGAAAAGTTATATGCCAGACGATTTGCAACAATGCGAAAACTTTATAAAGTTTGCAAAAGTTTTTAAAAACTTTCTCAAACCAGGTAGACCTGATATTTGAACGAATAAATTTTGCTACATTAAACAAAATACAATTTCATTTTCTGACCAATTTTAAAAGACTAAATATTTTAAGGGAGTTTAATTAAAAAACAAACAATTTTTATTTTATTTAACTTACAATCTATGCAAATGAAACTATCTTTTAAGTGTTAATATTCAAAATAAGAAATAACTAATTTGAAAAATTCGAATCAGTGGTAATTGTAGAATAAAATAGATGTAATACATAAATCGCACAATGAAGGCTGTCTATTAAAATGGAACCTGTTTTCCCAAAGATTTTTCATTTTTTTTAAACGCGATTATCTTCTTTTAAAAAGTCAATGTAAAATCTTTTAAAAACTCAATGTAAAACTAAAATCCATTATGCCGAATGTGGCATTATGCAAATTTGGCATTTGGTTTCCATCGCTTAACGTGACTTCTTTTTATGTAATTTTGCTTAAATTACAATAAAATAAAAATGTACTTGTTCTTCTAACTTTTCTTGCAAATTTTGAAACATTGCCTTTTATAATATTTTATAGTACACTATTTATACATACAATAATAACCATACTGTAATGTTTTTCTAGATAAATGTAAATGTCCCAGATTGACATAAACTTAAATCCAACGCAGCAAGTAAGCACAAGTGAACTAAAACTATTACATGTCTTTTATCTATTAACAAAACGGTCTATTAACAAAATTTTTGGAAATACTTTGCATCTTATTTCATAACAATATCTTTATTTATAAAAAAATGAGAAATTTTTTGCTCCCTCGAAACCCGTTCTCGAGATATAATAATTGTATCCGAAATCATTGGTATTTTCTTGAGGATTTTTGTGACGAAAAATATTACGAAAAAAGAGTTAATTTCACGATACTATATAAAATAATTTCAATTTAAACAATGATGCCTATATAAAAAGGATTCAAATAAATGTAACGTGTGTATAGTCTGTAAGATGTCTCATATTGTGTGTATGGTCATAAACGTATCATGAAGTATTATAACATAGTAATATATGTATACTGCCTAGAATATCCCAAACAATTATGTATGTACTAAAAAGTAATACCTCTGTGATCCTTTACTGGATGTGGATCGACCCCATATGTTTCCAGATTCCTGGCAATACTCATAAATTCGTCCATAGCTACTGAAGGAGGTTGTCCCGATTGACGTTGTTGATGTAAAGACGTCACTTTTTTTTCCAATGCCTCTGTCTGCCTTAGCGCCAACCGCAAAGCAGCAACATAATCACCCGTATGTTTTTCTGGATTAAAGTCTCCAATTTCCTCTAAAATTAATTTATATTTTTATATAGTTAATATTTTTACTAAATTACTTAGTAAAAATATGTTAAATCACAATTTTTAAGAGGTTTTGTATAAATTTCAGTCCTTAATATACTTAAATAAAAATAAATTTATCTATCACAATATAAAAAATAAATGTTTATTTTTTGACTATTTTTATTTTAATTACTGTACATATTTATTGTAAGTTCCGCTCATTATTAACAAAAATTACTTAAACTATAGGAGGCATTTCGAAATTGTTTCGAATTTTTCTCCAATTTTTCTATTTTTAAATATTTCATTCAAATCCCTTTTAGGGTTATTTAACGTACTTATAACGGATTGGGCTACAAAATATCCACAATAAGGTATGCTTATGATAAGAGCCCACTAATATGTGCTGCCTTGCATGAGGGAATTATTCTCAAAGGCTAGGAGAAGAAAACTCCGAAGGAAAACAAACAAATGCAATGAACAAAACACGAGGATTGAATACCCCAGGTGGTAATCCAATAATGCTGGAAAATCCACACTCTTCGGAGGCCGGTATCTTGGATTCTGGGGGAGACTACTTATTGCACAGTAGTTTGGCGTTGATGGACCCATTAAAAAGAAGATCGGAGGTCATGCGATCACCACCATTGGTGATTGCAGAGAAAAAGGACAGAGTTAAGGATGATAACTCTGAGAAAAGTCTAATAAGTTTGCGGAAGACAAAAAAGTAAACCCAAAAGGGTAATATGAAAAGGCATCTCATACAGGAGAATAAATTGGATTCTCAGGACTCGAGAATAACCGAGTTGGAGAGTCTTTGTAAGGTGCTACAAAACGAGATCTGCAAATTACAGGCAGAGAATGTAGATTTTAAAAATCAAATAAAATCTGCATCAACAGAAAAGAAAAACAAAGATGAGGAAGTTATCGTATATGAAACCGACGAGGAAGAACTGGCAAGAGAAACTGACTGGATCCTAAAACAGAAGCGAAAAATGGAAAAGCCCCCTGAAATAAATTCAAAGACTACAGTTAAAAAAAATAATGAAACCAGCCCTAAAATGAGGGCTGAAAATCCAAAAAAGCACAAGCCTCCTCTGGTTATATTGAGCAACATTAAGAACTACTCCCACATAATTAAAATAGTAAAAGAAGAAAGAATAAACGTTAGGGTCAATTTGATGAATAATGACCAATTAAAAATAAATGTGGAAAATTAAAATGAATACAGATTACTAACAAAAGCTATAAATTAGGCTAGACTGGAGTGGCACACGTATGAGAATAAACTGACGAGGCCAGTTAAAGTTATGGCTAGAAATCTCCATCCATCGTGTGAGCCAGAGGATATAAAGAGCTTATTAGCAAAGGCTTTAAATGTCTAGATGTTGTAAATAAAATCAAAAGGAAGAAGGAAAATGGAAAATATATTTCAGTAAAACTTCCGCTCTTTATGTTATCTTTTGACCATTCGGAAGAGATAACCAAGACCTATAAAATAGAGTACTTACAGCACATGAGATGCATAGTATGTTGACTAGAATTGACGAGATCTCTAAAAGATTATTAAAAATAGAAAATGCATACACTGAGATGTATACGAGGACACTAAAGAAGCTAAGAAAAGATGTACGTGAATGAGGTACGTATAGTAACTTGGAATGCTAATGGTGTTCTTAATAAGAAACAAGAATTGGAGGTCTTTGTCAAAACGAGAAATATAGATATTTGGTTGCTGTCGGAGGCTCATTTGACATATTATGCGAGCCTTAAAATAAAGGGCTATGATTTCTATAAAGCGGTACATCCCAGCAATCAGCCAAGAGGAGGTAGTGCAATACCAAGCAACCACCCAAGGTCTTTCCGTCCAATCAGCCTTACTTCTTTTCTATTGAAAGCAATGGAAAAAGTGATTGATAGATTTATACGGGACGGTGCACTGGGAAGCAATCCCTTGCATGAATCTCAATACGCCTATCAATCGGGAAGGTCTACTGTACTCGCTCTGCAGAGTCTGGTGGGGGTCCTTGAAAACTCACTGGAAGTGCGGGAGGTAGCAGTTGGCTGCTTCCTTGATATAGAGGGAGCTTTTGACAACACCCCATATCATGTCATCTGTGAGTCGTTGCACAAACGAGGGATTGATGCTACGACTAGCAGATGGGTCAATCGGATGCTACAGGATAGGATTATTAAGTCCACCATAGCTGACGATATACTCTTCATCTCCGCTGCAAAAGGATGTCCGCAGGGCGGGGTTCTTTCGCCCCTCCTGTGGTCCATTGTAGTGGATGATCTAATAGCTGCTCTTAGGGGCTCCGGGGCGCGTGTCTGGGGATACGCTGACGATGTGGCCTTCGTTGTGCGGGGAAAATTTGAGACCACTATTTCTGATCTTCTACAGCAAAATTTACGTGTTGTGGAAAGGTGGTGCAAAGGCGTTGAGTTAAATATAAATCCAAGCGAGAGCACTTTGGTCGCCTTCACAATACGCAGAAGCAGGGACAGATTAACGAGCCCAATTCTGTTTGGTGAACGTATTAGTTACTCGAGGGAGGTGAAGTATCTGGGAGTAACCCTGGATGATCGTCTCTCTTGGAATACCCATATCGATAGAGTTATCGGGAGAGCTACGGCGGCCTTGTGGACGTGTAGGAGCTTCATCGGGGGGACCTGGGGAATTAGTCCCAGAATAGCACTGTGGCTATATACGGCCCTTGCTAGGCCCATCGTCACCTATGCGTCGATTGTATGGTGCCGTAAAGCTCAGCAGGCGGGTGTGCGGGCCAAGCTGGAAAAGCTACAGAGGCTGGCCTGCCTGGGATGCGGACGGCTCCCACCGCTGCATTGGAGGTGATGATCGGATTGCCGCCACTGCACCTCCATATATTGAAGGAAGCTCGGCTGGTGACTTACCGACTTCTCTCTGGCGAGGACGGGGCAGGGCTAAAGTTGGCCCACAGAACTCACAGAGACTTCATTGAGGGCGATCCGATTCTAAGTTTAACCATGTCAGATACCTGTCTGCCGCGGTACAACTTCGACCACAAGTACAGGGTTCTGTTTCCTGATCGATGGACGTGGGATCGGGGTGGTCCGGTACTTAGGTCGGGTTCGAGCGTGTGGTGTGCGGACGGGTCCAAAACGGAGTCGGGTGTGGGCTCGGGCGTATACGGTGTCCGCCCGGACACACGTGTATATGCAGCCTTTGACCCGTATTGCACAGTGTTCCAGGCCGAAATACATGCAATAGAGATCTGTCTGAGAATCAATTTGGAAAGGGGGTATAGAAACCGCACCATCTATGTGTTCTCAGACAGCAGGGCTGCACTGCTGGCGCTCCGTTCAGCTCAGGTTACATCCAAGCTGGTCTGGAGCTGCCTTGCTGCACTTATGGAATTGGCATCGGAAAACAGAGTGATGCTCATTTGGGTGCCGGGCCATAGTGGCCATGCGGACAACGAAGTTGCCGATGAGTTGGCGCGTGCCTTTGTGCAGCCGCTGCCTTTCTGTGGTCTGCCTTCTTCCGCCGTGGGGGCCAGGCTTGCCTGCCTACTCGCGGCGGAATGCAGTCGTCACTGGCGGGACACGAAAGGGTGCCGTCATGCGAAGGTGTTTGTTCCGGCGTGCTCCGGCGGATTCGCTGCGGAGTTGCTGGGGATGAGCAGGAGCCGGGTTCGCACTATTGCGAATTTCTTCACGGGGCACTGCCCGGTGAAATACCACCTGCACAGGCTGGGGAAGTCGGGCTCCCCTCTGTGCAGATTTTGTGGGGGTGGCGATGAGACCGCCGTGCACATTCTCTGCGACTGTCCGGCACTGGCTGTTCGACGCCGTAATTGTCTTGGACATGGGTCCCTAAGTGTTCGGGAACTATTGTCCAACTCCCTTAGGGATATCTTCGGCTTTGTGATTGGGACGGGGATATTATAGACGGGAGAGTGGGGTGGCTACAATAAGTCAAAAATGGCTGCGGTGGGTTGGGAGGATGCTCCTGTCCCACTCGTTTCCCTTAGAATCTACGAATCTACGAATCTAGTGCAATACTAATAAAAGAAAGTATAGAACATAATGAAGAATTCAAGATAAAAACGGCTGAAATTCAGCTTATTTCGAAAAAAATTAAATCGATTAACAGGACTTTAGTGTTGGTGCTGTATACAGTCCACCAAATTGCAGCATTAAGAAAAATACTTTTAAAGATCTTCTGTACAAACATGGACACAGATATCTAATAGAAGGTGACTATGATGCAGACACATACAGATTGGGGTTCTAGAATCACCTCAACTAGAGGAAGAGAGCTTAGAAAAGCTATTCAAGAGCTAGGTTGTTACTATCACTCCACTGGTACTCCTACTTATTGGCCTACTGACACTAACAAGATTCCTGATGTTATTGACTTTTTTATAACCAAAAAAATATCAGAAAACTTTCTAAGCCTTGAAAATAACTATGATTTTTTTTCAGGTCACTCCGCTGTCATATTAAAACTAAGTGAAAAAATAACTAAAACATTATTTAGGCCCAGTTTAACAAATAGCACTAAGGATTGGGTGAGCTTTAGATACGAAATAATAAACAATATTGACGTAAATATTAATATACAATCAAGAGAGCAATTAGATGTGGAGTTAGAAGGATTTATTAAAATCATACAAAGAGCTGCATGGAACAATACAAAAATGTCAAAGTACAAACCGACAGCAAATAGCTATCCTCGAGAAATAAGTGATTTAGTAGGTGAAAAGAGAAGGGCCAGACATAGATGCAACGTTCGCGTCACCCTGATGATAAAACTGTTTTAAACAGACTTTCTCAGGTGCTTAAAAGAAAAATCTAAGAATTTAAATCGGCAACATACGAAAATTATATAAAGAACTTGTCAGCTACGAGGGAAACGAATTATTCCTTATGGAAGGCGGCAAAGAGCAAAAAGAGACCGATTAGGCACGCTCCGCCACTGATGAAAGCAAATGGCAGTTGGGCGAGGAGCAATGTAGAG